CCCCCCCCTTTATAAAACACTACAGCTAATTCTCACAAAATAATTGTCAGGGCTTAGCATCTAGATGATTGAGACTTAAGCTGGGATCTGTGGAGGGAGAGGATCCTATGTTAAGCAAACCCAGAGCTCTCAGCTTCTATATGTTCTTTTTAACAAGCGTATACATCTCGTAAACATATCCTGACTTGTAACCGGAAGCTTTTTAGTCATTCTTTTATAAAGGCGGGTTGTGTTTCTCCTCTCCTCTTGTTTATACAGCAGCCTTTTTTTTTTCTTTTACCCTTCTCTTGCTATAACAGCAGTACATGGTGGCATTTATACTCAGGGCCCGTGAATCTGTTTGTGATGCATCCTGCTGAGGGACTTAATCAAATGGCATTAAAAGGCTGTGTTCTTTCCACACTAATGGAGCTTATCAGATCCACAATGAAGCTGAAGGGTTTCTAGGCATCTCTTGATAATAAGGCAGATAAGACTTAGCTCTGCCAGCTTCGATCCTGGTCTTCTATCTGTCAGGCACTTTTAGTTAGCCACTGAATTTGGATGGCACATGAAAGGGCAGCCAAGTTGTTCTGCGGCTGATTATATTTTTATTTCGAGGCAGAGCTGCTAATGGGGTTTTCTGCCTCGTGTGCCAAACAGACCCGGTTCCTCCATTTTGCTGAGTTAATGCTTTATTAAATACATCACCCTTGACTGGGGTAACAGGGGCTGCCCCAAAGAAGAGGGAGTCAAGCTCTTCTCCAAGGCGCCTGGAGGCAGGACAAGAAGCAACGGATGGAAACTAATCAAGGAGAGAAGCAACCTAGAACTAAGGAGAAAATTCCTGACAGTGAGAACAATTAACCAGTGGAACAACCTGCCTCCAGAAGCGGTGAATGCTCCAACACCGGAAGTTTTTAAGAAGAGACTGGACGGCCATTTGTCCGAAATGGTGTAGGGTTTCCTGCCTGAGAAGGGGGCTGGACTAGATGACCTCCAAGGTCCCTTCCAACTTTATTATTATTATTATTATAAATTATTATTATTATTATTGTTGTTGTTGTTGCTGTTGTTGTTGTAAGCCACGAAGCAGAATCCGCCAGAGAACCGTTTGGGGTTTAAACAACCCATCGCTCCAACACTACGATAGTTGATAGCTACTACATGTAGTCCTCAGCTTACGACCACAATTGAGCCCTAAATTTATGTTGCTAAGTGAGACAGTTAAGTGAGTTTTGCCCCATTTTATGACCTTTTGTGCCACGGTTGTTAAGTGAATCACTGCAGTGGATAAGTTAGTAGCCTGGTTGTGAAGTGAATCTGGCTTCCGCGTTGATATCTGCTTGTCAGAAGTTTGCAAACGTTGATCACGTGACCCCAGGCCATCGCAGCCGTCATATGTATGAGTCAATTGACAAATGTCTGAATTTTGATCAGGCGACCGTGGGGATGCGGCAACGGTCGTAAGTGTGAGAAACGGTCCTAAGTCCCTTTTTTCACTGCCTTTGAAAGGTTGCTAAACGAACGAGGATCTACCTAGCTGCGGCATTTGTTTTGCTCGCTTGGAGAATTCAGCTGAGTAGAACAGGAGGATGTTGAGTAAGAAAATAAATAAATCCAGCCCTTCGTTGGGTGTTATTCCACGCTGTACATGCTAACCACCCACTTTGCTGAAATGCGAGCACAGGTACAACGGGACGCCGTTTAATTCTAACGAATTTCGCTTTAATGCAAAAACAGAAAGAGGCCTTCAGAGCAGCAATGTTTTACAATTATCTCCCTGTTTGTGTGACATTTGAGCTTAATCGCTTGCAAATTAAACCGGAAGGGTAATCGCCCTCCACAGATAAACACAGGAATAAGCCAGAGCATAAACAAAATAAAAACAGAACTGCAACCAGTATTATTTTCTCCCCTGTCATGACATATTACTGATGTTCACCACGGTGTTCCTCATTAGTGACAAAACTGCACAAATCAGGACTCGGAGAAGATCGGCTCCCCTAGGCAAAAGTCAAATTCTCCCGAATTAAAGAGGTCAAGATAATAAAAAAAGCAGCTGAGTAGCAAACTCACAGCTTAGCTACTACACCCTTAAACGTCACCGTCTCCTGGATTAAACGCGTTGCATACAAATACATACAGATTTCTACGGGATGTCTGGACATTTGAAACAGAATACAACAAAAGTGGCCTTTGGAACCTTGCAGCGTCTCACTGCGACACTGAGATGCCAAGGCAGGCGGGCCTGCTAGTAGCGGCCGTACCGCGGCTCCTGGAAATAGGATCCGTAGCCGCGTGGTGGCCAGCCCTGTTGAGGAAAGGAAGGCTGTCCGTGTTGGTGCTGCTGATAGTTAGTGCCGTAGCCCTTTTCGTGCCACTGATCAGACCTGTAGCCTCCTGGGTGGTCATAGCCGTGTCCCCTGTTTCGGTGGCTGTCTCTAAATCTGTGAAAAAGGAAAAGGGGCATGCTAAGACACCGGACTTATTTTCAGAGCCCGTCACCGGCATTATCCCAGCGGAGCGCATCCGTTACAAAGAAGGAAAATACCCCAGGTAGTCCTTGATTTACCACAACAACCGAGCCCAACATTGATGTTGCTAAGTGAGACATTTGTTAGGTGAGTTTTGCCCCGTTTCATGACCTTTCTCGCCACAGCTGCTGAGTAAATCACGGCAGTTGTTAAGTTAGTTAACACTGGTTGTTAAGCGAAACTGCCTTCCCCCCATTGACTTTGCTCGTCAGGAGGTCGTAAAAGGGGGATCACGTGACACACATGCACACACACACCCCGGGACAGTGCAACGGTCATAAATATGAGTCAAGGGATTGGACTAGGAAGGCTTACAACAGTGATGGCGAATCTTTTAGAGACCGAGTGCCCAAACTGCAACCCAAAACCCACTTATGCATCGTCGGGTGCCGGGTGGGTGTGGCCCATTGGGTGGGCGTGGCCCATTGGCTGGGCGTGGCTGCGGTGGTAACGGCAGACTGGGTGGGACTAAAAAGTTCAAACAATCAATTCCAACTTTGCAAGATCTTTTTTTTTCCGCGAGAAGTTGAAATTGACTGATTGAACCTTTTTTTTTTTGTACACGGCGGCGGAGGCCTAAAGCGAAAAGGTTTTATAAAACCCAGCTGAAGGCCTAGGACTGGGGCGATGGCGCGCGTGCCCACAGAGAGGGCTCTGAGTGCCGCCTCTGGCACCCGTGCCATAGGTTCGCCACCACTGGCCTACAAGGTCCCTCCCAAGCGTATTATTCTATCTTCTTGTCAACTGAGACAGAAAAGGCAGTACATTCAAGCACGCCCGGGAGGAGTTGCTGGGCAGGGCTGTTGCATTCACTGTTGTGGCAGATCACAACCTGTTAGGTCTTCTCCGTATCTCAGCTCAGGCTAATCTGCCCAACCGACAAAGACAACATAAAACACTTCTGAAAGGCCACACCTTGTCCACCCTTCTTCCAGAGAAGGAAAGCCAAAGAAACAAGCTGTTCTGAAAACTTTGTGTAACTTCTTGATTGACGTCATCTACCCACCCACCGGGTGGGATAGCCCCACCAGAAAGAAGCCAACATCTAACTTCTTCATATCAATCTAAACTAGCCGTACGATATGCTATTCAGAAGCGCAATGAAGCAGTTTTCCAAAGGAAAGCCATTCTTCTCTATCGGAGAATCAGAAATACATCCCTTTTTTTTTTTTGGTTTTCTTTTAAAGGGAGGTGACTGGAAAGAAGGACGGTTTTTCTTTCAAGATTCCCCGAGGCTTCTCTTCAAAACCACCCCAGCTGATTATTAAAACAATGCTTGGGAATTTGGAATCCAATCCAGAAGGCAAATTTAACTGCTCGACGTTTCTTTTCATCTGGCCAACTCTTGCAACGTTTGTTTGTTTTTTCATTTTAAAAGCAGAAAGATCTTTTATTCGCCCCTTCTGCTCTCTGGTAATTGGCCAAGAGTGAGATGAAAACGGCAGACCATCAAGCAAGGTTTCTCACCGCTTGACGTGCTTTCCCCCACGGATCGCTATTTAAATAAATATTTTTAGAACGTAAAATGTGTAATAGGTGTAAATGTGGCCGAGGCCTATCAAGGCAACAACTATCTCCCGAAAATTTGTGGGTTCGGTCTCTCTGATAGAAGCCGGGCTCAGAAAGGTCTCTTTTCCATGTGGTTGGAGAAGACTACGCAATCGGACTAGACTCGAGGTAGTCCTAAACTTACAACAGTGACAGTTCGAAGTTACAACGGCACTGAAAAAAGTGACTTATGACCGTTTTGCACACTTATGGCCGTTGTAGCATCCCCCATGGGGTCAAGTGATCAAAATTCAGATTTTTGCAAACCGACTCATTATTTATGACGGTTGCAGTGTCCCGGGGTCTTACGATCACCATCACCATCTGTCCGATGGGGACCAATGACTCAGTGAGATAGCTGGGCCTCCAGTTCAACTGGAAGGGCCGAGTCATCCCCAGGTACACGGGCAAGCTGGACACTCTGCTCCAAGAGCTCACGAAGGCACCGCTTAAGCCAGGGCTTTTCAACCTTTTCACCCACTGTACCACTTTTAGGATATGGCAACATCCGAGTACCACCAGTCGCCTAGCAAGGTGTCAAAAACTTGATGACCAAACCAAAAAAAAAAAAGGAAAAAAGTGATAAGGTACAGGTAGTCCTTGACTTACAACAGTTCGCTTACTGACTGTTCGAAGTTACAATGGCACTGAAAAAAGTGCCCCCCAAGCCACAGCCGAGCAAGACACCTGCCTGCCCACCCGGTGGTGTTCTTCCTCCTGTCCGAGGTTTTCATTGTTGTGAGCATTTCTGTTGAGGATTGGCAGTGGGGGTGGGATGGGGGGTGTTTGGTTTTTATTTCCCCCCCCCCGGTCTGCTGGGTGGTTGCAGCAGGTGTTGGTCACTTCACATGACCCTGGGACACTGTGACCGTCATAAATATGAATCAGTTGCCAAGCATCTGAATGTAAATCACAAGACCCTGGGGATGCTGCAACATTCCAGCTGATTGGTGCTTCTTCAGGGCTCAGCAGAAGCACCAGGATCAGCGCCGGGCTCCAGCTGGAGCCTGGCGCTGATCCTGGCGCTTCCGCTGAGTCCTGACAGCCCTACAGCTCCAGCCGTCTCTCGCTCAGGCTTGTGTGGTGCTGCCACCGGTTCAACTCATTCCCCTCCCCCGCTACCACCTTTCTAGGATGGTTGCGTACCACCTGCCAGGTGCCAATGTACCACAGGTGGTACCCGTACCACTGGTTGAAAAGCCCTGGCTTAAGCCGCACCAGTGACTTAAGCCAGGGGTCCCCAAACTCTCTCCCACTTCAGCAGGGATGTTCTCCAGAACAAGCAACATCCATGTAGTTTGCCTTCCTGTCCCCCCCACTTAGTTATCGTTTAACCCTAAGGTAGCAATAGCACTTAGACTCTCATATACCACTTCATAGTACTTTACAGCCCAAGCACCCTACGTGTTGTGCAAATTCAGCCAGGAGAAGCACTCATACGGTGCTCAACTTTTTTCCCATCAATACAATTAAAAACTTTTTTTTGTGTGTAAAAAAAAAATGCAAGTATAATACCGATCTCTGTATCGCTGGTGACCACCCGATCTATTTCGCCAGTCCTCCACTAAGGGAGGTGGGTCAGCAGGGCGCTGAACGTACTTCTGATACTCCTCATCTTCCGAAGTGAATCGATGGGCAAACTTATTTTTGTAATTCTGGAGGGTCTCAAACACAGACAGCGTGCTTGGTTCGCTGAAACGTCAAAAAAGTATCTCATGAAATGTCCGCAAAAGGTAAGAAATTAAAGTGACCAACGAAGTTGATTTGCAAGATGTCCTTTTTTTAACAGAGGGCATTTTTATGAAAGAAAGGGGGGTAAAACGCAATCAATAAATACGCATATATAGCTGAGGAAAATGGCTTGCTCAGACTTGGCTGAGGAACTGCTTATTGTGAAGTTGGAAACAACTTCTAAAACCATACAGAATAATCCTACAGGGTAGAGGCAGAATCTAAAGCCAAGAGGAATAGGATTCAAAAAACATATGAGGAACGGTTGCTGGAATTGGGTATGTCTAGTTTAATGAAGAGAAGGATGAGGGGGGACATGATAGCAGTGTTCCAGTATCTCAGGGGCTGCCACAAAGAAGAGGGAGTCAAGCTATTCTCCAAAGCACCTGAAGGCAGGACAAGAAGCAACGGATGGAGACTAATCAAGGAGAGAAGCAACCTAGAACTAAGGAGAAACTTCCTGACAGTTAGAACAATTAACCAGTGGAACAACCTGCCTCCAGAAGCGGCGAATGCTCCAACACTGGAAGTTTTAAAGAAGAGACTGGACAGCCATCTGTCCGAAATGGTGTAGGGTTTCCTGCCTGAGCAGGGGTTGGACTTGATGATCTCCAAGGTCCCTTCCAACTTTATTATTATTATTATTATTATTATTATTATTACTACTACTACTACTACTACTACTACTATTAGTAATAATAATAATAATGTCTGTGAGGGGTAACATCTCAAGTGCCCCTGGGGGAGGGAGCAGAAGCGTGCATATTCAGCAGCTGCCAAGAATCACAAATAATAAAAGATCGAACACCATTATGTAAAAAAAATGAGTATTTTTCTTGACCATCAGGAAAAAAAAGAAAGAGTCTATTGCTCAGCAGAGTTACCATTTTTGTAAAGCCTTAGTAAGGCCACACCTGGAATACTGCATCCAGTTTTGGTCACACCACATTACAAAAAAGATGTTGAGACTTTGGAAAAAGTGCAGAGAGGAGCAACTAAGATGATTAAAAGCCTGGAGGCTAAAACATACGAAGAACGGTTGCGGGACTTGGGTTTGACTAGTCTAGAGAAAAGAAGGACTAGGGGGACGTGAGTGCATAGTCTCTGTACTCAACCCCAATCCTTTTCAGCTACCGGTTTTAAAGCCCAAGCAGCCTTGCCAAAAGCAACGCCCTGTCCCGATTTACACACCACATGACAACACCGTTACTAAACGCTGGTTTGTTGACGAAGGCACAAATTGTTGAACTCGCACATCATGCTAAAATGGAGTCATCCCAAGCATCCTACGCATTGTGCAAATTCAGCCAGAAAAAGCACTAATACAGCGTTCACTTTTCCCCCCCCCATCAACATAATAAAAACTTTAAAATGCAAGTATAATACCGATCTCTGTATCGCTGGTGACCACCCAATCTATTTTGCCAGTCCTCCGCTAAGGGAGGTGGGTCAGCAGGGCGCTGAACGTACTTCTGATACTCCTCATCTTCCGAAGTGAATCGATGGGCAAACTTATTTTTGTAATTCTGGAGGGTCTCAAACACAGACGGCGCGCTTGGTTCACTGAAACGTCAAAAAAGTATCTCATGAAATGTCCGTAAAAGTTAAGAAATTAAAATGGATTTGCAAGATGTCCTTTTTTTAACAGAAGGCATTTTTTATGGAAGAAAGGGGGATAAAACACAATCAATAAATAGGCATATGTAGCTGAGGAAAATGGCTCGCTCGGACGTGGCTGAGGAACTGCTTATTTTGAAGTTGGAAACAACTTCTAAAATCGTACAGAATAAAAACTGTACAATCTCTGATCTATCGGGCTGAATTAAGCTCTCCAGCCATTTATGGCAGTTCACTCTTTCAATCTTCCGAGTATTTTATCTGCTTTGTTTACAGCCAATGTACAGTATTTAGTTGTGTTCTTGCCGCAGTAAAGCAGGCTTTACAAGCAATCACAATGTGTCAATCTCCTGAAAGCCTGATTGATCCAACATAGAACTGGAGTAGAAAACCCCCCAGACACACAATCTAAAATGTATTTTGTTGTTTCCAATCAGTGGGACTGGGTGACATGTTTGACATTTAATCTTCCGCAGCTTTCAGTAATATGAAAGGATATCAGCAATTGTGGGCAGACTATTTATGCAGTGCTACAGGAAAGGTTTTCCTAGAAAACAAGGTTACTATCCTAGTTTGTGACCAACCAGGTCGTAATCTCTAGTTAATTCAGTTGCTTTTAGCTTATTGTGATCTTGTAAACTCATCCTCAACGATAAATTTCCAAGGTAATTTATTTTAAACACATTTTGGCTGATATTCATGCAGTTATGTTTATTGCATGTTTGTTTGTTCACTTTTATCTCCCCTTTATTATTTTTAAAAATAAGGCAGCGAACATATCCAACACACTTTCCTCCTCCTGTTTTCCCCAAAACAAGAACCCTGTGAGGTGAGTTGGGCTGAGAGAGAGGGACTGGCCCAAAGTCACCCAGTTGGCTTTCATGTCTAAGGTGGGACTAGAACTCACAGCCTCCTGCTTTCTAACTTGGTGCCTTAACCAATAGGCCTAATGTTGTTTTGCCCATATATTGTATGAACTTAGCTACCTTGAACCTAAACCATTCATCTGTTTGCAAAGCTAGACTATTTTAGTTTATTCAAAAACCATGGATAAATAAGCCACAGATTATTAGGGCATCCATAAACATCTACAGCTGCTTACAGTTTTATTAACATTACCATTTATATAGAGGGTTTTCCAATTTTCCTGTATGGAAATCCTTCTTAAAACTATAGCATTTGGAGAGCAGCTTACAATTAAAATGATATTTTTTTTAAAGTAACTGAAACGTACAAACAGGATAGCAAAGCAACAAGCCATTGTGGTAAACATATTTGAGGCACTATAAATAAACTAAGTTGTTATTATACCTATTATACAGGTCCGGAGGTAGCAAACACTCTGTGGCAGCCAATTCAGTTACTGAGAATTGTCTCTCTGATCTTAGACACAATATTTGGTCTCTTGTCTTTATGCACTTGAGCAAACAGAACAATGTGGGCCGATAAACTTCTATACTTCTCACTAGACCATGTTTGTAAATCAATTAACGTAGTGCATAGTCACGTTTTTATCAGCACAATGTGAAAGGAATTTGCATTCTGCATTTTGATCTCTAAAGCTATTTCAGGATGGTGTACACAAAACCAAATATAGTTTTAACCCTGAAACATACCAGTCATTTAAGATAAATGGACCTTAACCATTGTGGAGTTAGCTCTATTTAGGTTTTATGGCTTGTTTTTTCATTCTGCTATCTTGATTTGGGTTCTGCCTTTATGGTATCCACTGCGTAATTATGAGGTCCCGCAGATCCAACAAAATTTAAGATAAGGAAAATGTAACAGCCAGACCTGTTCATCCAGTCTTCAATTAGAGGAGGTGGAATGGCAGAATGCTGAAGATATTTCTGATATTCCTTATCCTCTTCAGTATATCGATAAGCAAACATGCTTTGATAATTCTGAATAACGTCAGTGGTAGAAGCCATTCTGGAATTCCTGAAAAAAGATATTTAGAAAACCCCACCATCTGTTATTTTCTGAAAAGAAAACACCTGTGTAAATGTTTAATTTGATATTGTCGACAATCTGCCCGTACAAAACCAGTTCAACGTAAGTAAGCTTCTCCTTTCTATGTTAAGCGATAGCCGTCCTTTAAGGATTGTCAGCCCATAAAACATGTATTGGTCTGAGAGCAAAACCAACAGCACAGTATTGTTTAACTATTGTATACAATCTTCAGACACATTGCAAGCAGATATCGGAACAATCTGAAAGAGGCATTTCAGAAAGTAAATTATCAGATTGTCACAGCTGCCCAACAAAAATAATTGGAAGTAACAGTCAAGAAAATTGTTTGAATCAAAGCAGAGAAGAAATTGAATAGAATACTCGGGCTCAAAGAAATGCAGCCAAAGCAAAATACTTCATTTCCCATTCAACTATAGCCATGGAGAAAATTCTTGAGGTCTGTTGCCTTTGGGGATGATGAGTTCACTGGATGCCCGTTCATTTCTGAGTAAATCTGTTCAGGAGTGAACTTCAGAAGGGCAGGGGAACTATTTGCAGTTGCTTACACTAGAGCAAGCAGTCTAGCTGCTGTCTCCTCTGATTTGAAATATCCAGCATCTTCTATTTTAAAAGGATGCATTGATCTACGGATAGTGGTTAAGGCATCGGGCAAGAAACCAGAAGAACGTGCGTTGTAGTCCTGCCTTGGGGGCGAAGCCAGCTGCCTGCGTGACCTTAGGCCAGTCACTTCCACTCAGCCCTAAAAAAAAAGCAAGGGCAAAGCAATTCCCTAAAAAAACTGTCATGAAAACTGCAGGGACTAATCAAAAGCAGACTTGAAGGCATGCACGCGCACCCACCTGGACATAAAATCTATGGAGTCTCTACCCATAAAAAAAAAGTTCCTGTTACAAGTGTTAATTCTGGAAAAAGCTTTGATGGCTACTAAACATTAGGGATATTTATTGTCATTTCTGCCACCAGAGGCAAGCGGGCTCTTTTAATCAGCTGCAAAGGAAGAGAGGTGGCAGCAGGTTGTTGTTGTTGTTCCTTCCCTGTCTTGCTTTTTCCCCAAGACCTGCATGCTGTAGGTCCAGAAATTACACAACGGCTCTGCCATCGCACAATTACACAACGAGTCACCGCGGGGGTTGGGATCAGAGGGACGGAAAAAGAAAGCCACCCTGATCGGAGCCAGATCCCGCTCCACCCTGCCCTTCCCTCTCCAAACGCTCTCCCGGGCGAGCGGGGTGGGGGGTGGGGGCAACTGCAGAATCCTTGCCAGATCCAGAGGACTAGCTCCTTGGCGCAAAAACCAAAACAATCCAGGGGGCGAAAAAAAGAGGAGACGCCAGTGAACGCCCGCAAGGCTGTTTTAAAGCCCCCCCCCGGCTTTAAAATAAACAATTATTACTGTTATTATTATTATTATCATCGTCATTACGGTGATGATTGATCTTATTACCCACAAAGGGAGGTAAAGGGCAGAGATGAGCCTCGCCTTCAGTCCAATGCCAGGAACTGCCTCCCTCCCTCCCTCACTTCCGCCCGTTCATCCCCGGACTTCCGGTTCCGCTTCGCCCCGCCTCCTGGAGGGCGGTCTCGAGGCGTCGGGGGGGCGGGCTGATGGGCGGGGCTTCCGCACTCTATAAAAGGCCCGCTCGCCCCACAAGACGCTTCTCATCTGTGTTGATGTTGTCGCTGTTTGGTGCTTCTCAGCTACCCGCGACAGGCGTTGTGGGTCGTTTTGTTTTCTTTTTGTTTAAGCTGAAGGAGTAAATCTCCGTTCCAGCGAGGCAGGGGTGGAAGCAGGCTTCCCTTTAGGCAGCTGAGAAGTACATTCCTCCTGGACAGCCATTTGTCTGAAATGGTATAGGGATTCCTGCCTGAGCAGGGGGTTAGACTAGATGACCTCTAAGGTCCCTTCCAACTTTACTACTACTACTACTACTACTACTACTACTACTACTACTACTACTACTACTACTACTACTATTATTATTAAGCCCACTGAGCAGTTAGCCTCTAAAAGTTACAGAAATTGCCTTCCTGATTGTAGTGTTGGCGTCTGGAGTTTGTCCTACGACTCCCCTTAAAAATAGGAAAAGGACAGCAATACCCTGAGTAGGCTTGATTGGCAGGACATACTTCTTGAGGTTAAGGCTGAGTTGGTCCTGCGGGGGAAAAATGTAGGGGAGTGCTAAAATTTGAAAGGACTTCCGAGAAGTGCAATGAAAAAAAAAAAAAGGAAAAAGCCGCAGTGATGCACTCTATGATCCAGTGCATTCAGGCAAGGGTTGATGCATAGACCGTAACAATATCTACATACTGTGCAAAAGAGGCCGAAAAGGGAACAAAAAGATCAAAACACCTCTTCACCAGCAGTCAACACCCAGAGGAGCAGGAATTAAGTCCAAAGTTAACATCAGACCAACACTCAAGAAGTAAACAATATCTCAACCAAGGAGCAGCCAAAAAAAGGTAACTGTAATCAGCCTAACCAAAGCGTCCCTAATAACCCCCCCAACACTGACAGGGTAAGCTACCAGAAAATAATAATAATAATAATAATAATAATAATAATAATAATAATAATAATAATAATAATAATAATAATAATAATAATAAAGTTGGAAGGGACCTTGGAGGTCATCTAGTCCAACCCCCTGCTCAGGCAGGAAACCCTATATCATTTCAGACAAATGGCCGTCCAGTCTCTTCTTAAAAACTTCCAGTGTTGGAGCATTCACCGCTTCTGGAGGCAGGTTGTTCCACTGGTTAATTGTTCTAACTGTCAGGAAGTTTCTCCTTAGTTCTAGGTTGCTTCTCTCCTTGGTTAGTTTCCACCCGTTGCTTCTTGTCCTGCCTTCAGGCACCTTGGAAAATAGCTTGACTCCCTCTTCTTTGGGACAGCCCCTGAGATATTGGAACACTGCTATCATGTCCCCTAGTTTGGGTCATGAAATGTCTACAAGAAAATAACCAAGCCCAGAGAGCCCCAAAGACCCCTGGTATCCTAGGACTGGACACACCATACACAGTAAAAATGCTCACAAATTCTGGGGATAAATCCTTGGAAATCTTGGCTCCCTACAGGTAGTCCTCAACTTACGACCACAATGGATCCCAAAATGTCTGTTGAGAAGAGACTGGACAGCCATTTGTCCGAAATGGTGTAGGGTTTCCTGCCTGAGCAGGGGGTTGGACTCGATGACCTCCAAGGTCCCTTCCAACTTTATTATTATTATTATTATTATTATTATTATTATTATTATTATTATTATTGTTGTTGTTGTTGTTGTTGTTGTTGTTATTGAGCTTGGCCCCCTTTTACGACCTTCCCTTGCTACAGTTGTTAAGTGAATCGCTGCAATTGTTAGTAACACGGTTGTTAAGTGAGTCTGTCTTCTCCGTTGACTTGGCTTGTCGGAAGGTTGCAAAAGGGGAACACATGACCCCGGGACACTGCGACCGTCATAAATGTGAGTCAGTTGCCAAGGGTCTGAATTTTAATCATGTGACTTGTGGATGCTGCAATGGTCATAAGTATGAAAAAAATGATCATAAGTCCTTTTTTTTCAGTGCCGTTCTAACTTTGAGCGGTCACTAAACAAAGTCTTGTATGTCCTGGACTACCTGTATTAAGTTACACTCTCAGAAAAGCTTTAAGGCTTCAGTGTTCTCCTTTATCCTGTAGCTCTGTCTGGACTGCATATTCTTCATCACGAAATTGATATTATGTGTAGGGACTGGGAGTGTTACAATATCTTTTAAATAGACACTTTCAAACAAACAAAAAATCCCCAGTCCCTGATAGACTGAATTTCCAAAACAATGCCTATTAGAAGAACCCTTCTTAATCTTGACCTTTAAATGTTAACTCCCTGTGTTTTTTAACAGTTGTTTTTATGTTGACGAGCAGACATGTTTAAAATGCATTTCTAGAACCTTTGTTTTTAGAGATGGGTTTAACTCTTCCATAATAGAATTCTTCCATTCCCTCTGCTTTCTAATAGTACCTGTTTCCTTCCTTATAATGATCATTTTCCACTGGGGGATAGTATTATTAAGATGGTATATCTCGTTTCCCCACATAGCGGGGAACTCTTAATTCAAATCACTCTAGATTGCAATATTCTTACTCTTGCTGAGTGTCAGTTACACCGTTACACCGTGATAAAATTAAGTTTGTTGTTGTTAATTGCTAAGTTGTGTCCGACCCATCGCGACCCCATGGACAACGTTCCTCCAGCCTTCCTGTCCTCTACCATCTTCTGGAGTCCCTTTAAGCTCAGGCCTCCTGCTTCAGCGACTCCATCCAGCCACCACATTCTCTGTCGTCCCCTTCTTCTCTTGCCCTCCATCTTTCCCAGCATCAGGCTCTTCTCCAGTGAGTCCTTCCTTCTCATTAGGTGGCCAAAGTACTTAAGTTTCAACTTCAGGATCTGGCCTTCTAAAGAGCAGTCAGGGTTGATCTCCTCTAGGATTGACCGGTTTGATCGCCTTGCAGTCCAGGGGACTTGCAGGAGTCTGCTCCAGCACCAGAGTTCAAAGGCCTCCATTCTTTGTCGCTCAGCCTTTCTTATGGTCCAACTTTCACAGTCATACATTGAAACTGGGAACACCATGGCCTTGACTATACACACTTTTGTTGGCAGGGTGATGTCTCTGCTTTTTAGTGTGCTGTCTCGATTTGCCATAGCTTTCCTCCCCAGGAGCAAGCGTCTTTTAATTTCTTGGCTGCAGTCCCCATCTGAGGTGATAAAATTAAGTTACACCATGATAAAATCAAATCCAAAAAAGTAAGGGATTTCTTGGAATCTTGGCACCCAGATGAATTATCTATCAACAGACAGAGATAAACCAGATTTACCACCATTCATTCAAAAGTGACAATAAAAAGTTAAGACTGTGGGTTGCTGTTCTGGTCTTGTTCCTTCTTAGCTGTTTTATTTTCTCCTTTGAGTGGTGTGTAAATCTGCTTTATCTCTGTGTGTCTGTAGATGGCTAATTTGTCTAAGTGCCAAGCTTCCAGGAATTCTCTAATGTTCTTGGATTTAGCTTGGTCCTCAGCTGAAACTATGGTCGAGACTTTCCCTGTGTTGTGAACTTAAGAAATTCTGTGTCTTCTGATTGCTTGTGGGTGTTCATGGATGTGCTGTGCTGATGTTCTGCCTGTCTGTTACAGTCCTTGCACTATAGATGTTCATTGATTCCTAGTTTTAGTGAATAATACAGTGAAAAATATATGTCATTTCACCATTAGACAGAAAGATTTAAGTCCCTGAGCTATGTGTCTATACATCCCCTCTCTGGATGGTAATTCCAAGGATCTTATTTTGACATTATAGTGTTTTTCAATGTTTAAATAGAACATGGATCCTTCGCTAAACAGATGATGCTGTGTAAGAGAGGATTTACACCTGTCAGTCTTAAACCCTCGTTCACGGATAGGAGGAGAAAGTTGTTTTAGATAGGTTTGCCACTTTGCATTATTTATAAATAAATAACAAAGGCAGAATAGAAATAAACAAAATAAAAAAAATCCATCTAGAATCTCATTCTGGGCCTGGAAACACATGAGCCAAACTCATGCAATTCCCCCCCCCCCATCAAGAGCAACTGTCTCTGACATGATGTCCTTTCCCTATTTTGGAACAATAACTTCTCAGGGTGGCTGTCCAGACATATCTGGAAAACGACAGGTTGAAGGTAACTGATGTTGACTGTGTGTATAAGGGAAAAAGTCAGGAGGCATTTTGGAAGTAGATTTAAAACAGATGGACAGAGCAACGGGAAAACTGAGCCAAGTACATACCAGATGGACTTGGACGTATTTAAAGACTTGGGTGAACATTACTTTCCTACTCGGTGAACAAAAATCGAACTAACTTATCCTCAAACTGGAAAAAATAAAGCAGACAATGGCATTTTGTGTGTGTGTGTGTGTGTGTGTGTGTGAGAGAGAGAGAGAGAGAGAGAGAGAGGGAGAGAGAGAGAGAGAGAGAGAGAGAGAGAGAGAGAGAGAGAGAGAGAGAGAGAGAGAGAAGGTAGACTCGTAATATAATCCTTATATATTATGGATGGATTCAAGGTTTTTTAAATATTGGTAAATATTGGTAGCAAATCAATAAATCAATACAAAGTCGTGCATCCTGGCAATTCACCAGTATTTTAATGATAATATGCAGACACTGAGAAAGAGAACGTGAATTCTTTGCTTGCAGAAATCTCAGCTATGCTCTTTGCATGGTGTTGGGATAGAATAGGAAAAACTCTTAGTCTAAAAGACTAGGAATCCATACTAGTCAGTAACTGTAGAGACTCTGGAAAAAGTGCAAAAAAGAGCAACAACGAGGATTAGGGGGCTGGAGGTTAAAACATAGGAAGAACGGCTGCAGGAATTGGGATTGTCTAGGGGAGGGGTCCCCAATCCCTGGGCCATGGCTCATTTGGAACTGGGCCACATGAGAGGCGGGCAGGCATGCATGTGCAGCTCCACTCACATGAGCGGCAGGCCGGTGCGTATGCT